GGGTGCACCTGTCTAAGAGAAACCTCATTTCTGCCAGGGCCTCACAAATCAGCAAACTTGTAAGTTGCTATTTACACTGGGAAAGACAGGCATGCATGCCATCAAAACTTGTATATTGGGTTAAAACTATGCTGTTCAGTCTATTACGAATGTCACTAATGAGCACTCTTTTATTACCCCCCACCCCTGCCAAAATTTTTCACCGATATAGCTAATACTAGTTCAATGAAATGAAAATGTAGCTAAGCACTTTGGTCTTTAGCTCTGAATTCAATACAAAATAGATCATTCTACTGAACTCTACCATATAAAATATCATTCTTTCTTAAGCTTTATGAGAGAAAAGGACTTAGTGAGATTAAAAAATGATCTTTGTTTATATGATTATATTCTTAATGCCAATTTTAAGTATTTACATAATATAAGAAATAAGTTATTCATCAAATATTACTTTAAGATAAAAGTCACCTAAAAGTAATACCCAACTTCTGTTTGAATTCTAAAAATGTCACATTTAAAATGTTATTCCTTTAATTTTACTTTTCTAGCCATTGAAGAATAGAAAAATAATCAATACTTGGTGATAATAATTCATATTTTCATTATAGCTTAAGAAGAAATGCGACTATATATAGGGTTTGAAACAAAAAAGATCAAAGTGAGTCACAGTGGGGGAAAAATGGTCCAACACATACAATTCAAAATTATACAGAAAACAAGTCGTTGGTCAAAAATGACTTCTCTAGTGTCAGGACTCAACATATACTTCACTGTTAAAAAAGTCACAGGGCACTTCATTATTCGAAAACTTCAGTACTAAGAGTTCTTTCTTTCCCCAACATATCTGTGTTTTAAACTGATACAGTAACTAATACCAACCCCTTAAGTGTAAATTTGTTACAATGATTTTAATAATTACAAACCAAATGATTTTGTTTACTTGTAAAATAAATTAGACTTGCTAGATCATAAACCAAACAAGAATAGATGTTGCTTTTTTCCTTTTTCAAAGAACAATTTAAAAAACTCAATAGTAGGAAAAGCCCAGATTTACCATTTTTGATAATTCCTTGAAAAAGGTTGATAAGCCAAGACAAATACCATATCCAAGAACAGCGGTAAGACAATGTGCCTAGTCCACAGTGCCAAGCTGTAAGACTGGAGCAACTGATAAGCTGTTAAGGAGAAATGTGAAAAGATTTAGGGAAAGTGGTGGTGTATTTTACAGAAACACATAAACTCTCTCTCACATTTATGCATTTTTAATTTAAAATGTATAAATTAATAACAGCTTGTTTTGGCAAATAATTGCAAATGAAAACACCTTCAGAAGTTTGCTTTTGCAGAAATTAAAACTGGCATAATAACTATTGTCACTTTAAAGATACATATGGTATTTAAAATCTATTTTTAGTTTGGATTAATGACTTCCAATTGTCTTTTGATAATTTGCCTTATACTTTATCTCTCAAGGAAGAAATTCAGAAGCTAAAAGTAAAAATTTTTTTGCACATATAATGTCCTGTGTGACGGTGGTAGCATGGCTTAGTATAGACAATGTGGTCCTACAGAAGTTTGCCTGGCTGTACTTCAAAAACTTGGAAAGTATATTTTATGATTTAGATCTAAAATGTCCCTTAAGAGTCTCATATCTGGAGGCAGGGCCCAGTCAAAGAGGACAGGTCACTGGAGGTTTGACCTGCAAGTACACACTCTTGTCCCAGCAGCTCCCCTCTGCCTTTTTTCTCTGCTTCCTGGCTGCCCTGCGGCAAACAGCTTCCCCCTGGCATGACCTTCTGCCATGTCCCAGTCTACATGGAGCCAACAAACATGGACGGAATTCTCTAGTAACAATGAGTAAAAACAAATCTCTTTTAAATTGACAGGGTCAGGTATTTTGTCCCAGGAGCAGGAAAGTGACTAACACAGTATATATGCAACTCATAAATACAATTATACATTTGTTGGAACTGGGCTATAGCACACTGGCTGAAAGAAAACAGTGGCTACAGCGATGGTTAACTGTGTCTTCCCACCATAATCTCATTCCTTGGTTTGTTTTTCAGAAATGCAAATTCATTCTCCAAACACAAGCCTCTTTTCTTACTACCTGTAGGAGCAGGAAACTTCCTTTATGTTCTGAAGAGATTCATAAAAGTGATGTAGAAACAAACATTTGAATTTTTCTTTTCATTATTATGCATAAGCCATTTCTAGCATTAATTCTTCAGAGTAAGACAGCTTCACTAGCTCCTGTCACCAGTTACTTGACAGTGGATTTTAAAACATTTTAGAAAATTTTAAAAATGCTTAGTATTTGGTATCTGTGTCCCTCATAGTTCCCTCAACCTTTCCTCATAGTCAGGGCTAATTCCCCTCAGTTATGACCTATCTCCCTCACGACCTTCTTGTGCTGTCTCTGCACAGCTCCCCTGTCTCTGGGTTTTCCCCTGGAAGACCTCGATCTCTGCTTCTTTCTCTGCCCTGTAAGCACACAGACATGCCTCCATTTCATTTATCACAGTATGTTTATTCCTCAACTAAGGAAGCAAACAAAGAAAAAGCCTCCAGCCTTTCTGGATCTTTCTGGATCTATTGCTCAAAGCAACAGCCTGTTCTCTCCCTTCAAGGGACACAGACTCCTCATTCTCCATGAATGACAGTAACTTAATGGAGACTGGTACTTTGAACTGACTGTCCCGACAGCCTCCCTACAGTCTCCCAACACCACTTACTGTTCGCTTTAATTCCCCCTTCTGCATTGTTGTCACAGAATCTTTTCTAAGATGTAAGTCTGTTTATATAATTTTCCTCTTTGTATTTTACAATACTTTTGAGATACAAACCCAAACTCCTTTATGTGGGATATAGTCTTTCAGATCTAACTGATTCAGTCTCTTAACCCATCTTTATCGTTTCTGTAATTTTTTGGGTAAGTGTCCTCTAAAGTTTCATGTATTAAAGGCCTTGTTGGAAGGTGGTAGAAGCTCTAGGTGCCTAGTGGAAGCAAGTGAGGTCACTGGGGTTGTATCCTTCAAGTGGGCACTGGGACACAATTCCTTCTCTTCCTCTCTGCCTCTGGTCACCATGAGGGGAGCAATTTCCCCATGGTGTTCCATCTCGCCACAGCACCAGGGCAAAGCCACTAATCAACCATGGACTGAAACCAAGAACCAGAATCAAGCTTTCCTCCTTAAACGTTGTTTCATTTCAGCTGTTTGTTACAGTCATGAAAGGTGGCCAAAGTATGTTCCTACCAACTACTTTCCACACACCAGGTATCAGGAAGTCGGTGCCTTGCTTGCTGTGCTCTCAACTCTCCTCACGGCCCTGACGTCCTCACTTGTTGCTTTTTCTCCCAGGAGCACTCTGACTTCTATAACCCTGTCCAATGAATTTCTACTTATCCTACAACCTTAGTTTAAAATCCTTCCTGACCCTCATGTGCCCACAGAGACCTGTCCCCTCTTTTTTCCTGCATGCTCCCCAAAAAGTGCACTTAAGTTTCTTAAAAAGAGCTCGTAGATCTTATTCATGATTTTATCAGCAGACTATCTCAGTATCTGGTACATACTAGGTATTTAGTAAATGCCTCTGTCATGATAACTGTGGAAGGTTTATTTCCCTTTCTTCTATCTCCCCAAGTGCAGTAGATACGTTTCTCCAATAAATGCTACAAACTATTAACAACGATTAATATCCCTTACAGGAACCAACACCACCCCTCTCTACACTCCTTTCCTCCCATGCTGCAGGCTGATGGAAGACTCATTTTCCTACGACACCGACTCTCCATGGTATCTGTCACCCTGCACTTACACAGGCTTTCTGTTACATGCAGGATGAAGCTGAGCTTCTGCCACCTCAGTTCTTTTACATGCACTGTACCTCTGCATACAAGATCTTGATTAATCACTACAGATTCTTCTCCTCCTTCCCCACTCACATCTCACCCCAGGCCTCCCTGACTTCTCAAACTAATGTGATCTTTGAGTCAGTCCATTATATTAACTGGATTCATAGTATTAACCCAGTTTCATAATACTATTTAGAGTTGAAATCTTTGTCCTCACAGGCATTTACTCTACTGTGCCTCTTCATAGTTTTCCTCGTTAAACTGTCAGGTTCATAAACACAGGCTTTTTTCACTGTAGCATTTCCTGTCAAGGCAGTTTTTAGAACCAGAGAATCACTGTTGAATATTGGTTCAATTAATAAAAGACTGAATGTAAAAATACTCCAGACTGACTTTCCAGGTCCTATATAATCTGGCCTCCCCTGATCTTTCCTGCCTCATTTCCAACAAATCTTAACTGGCCTATCTAAAATAGCCTGGTCTTCTTACTCTATTTAAATTATTTTCATTTTTTAAGATCCATACAAAATTCCAATTTTTCTACAAGGCAATCCAAAGTGGAAAGCTCTTTAACTATATTTTTACCTCAAGTCTTTAATGTCTTTAAATTTCCCTAGAGCTTCCCAATACTTAGACAGTAAATTCTGGAAAAGTCTATATGCTAGGAGCAAATAACGTTCAGGCCTCTCCATTCTTTAAGAAAATTACATGCTTTTTTTCAAGTATACCACAGAATTGTGCTCTCAGGTATAACGGATAGATTTATGGTTTAAAGGCAATATTCAAAATCAGTCTGTAAGACCTGGTTTGAATTACAACTGTGCTTTCCCCTTTAAATTGTAGATAGCATTTTCCACTGAATGTTCTATGAAAAGGCATCTTTCTATGAAAGATAGTCTATGAAAAGTAACTCTGAACACAGCATATTAAATAACGTATTCAAATTCATAAGTAAAACCATAAGTAATTCTTATTTTTTCTATAAGAATTGCTCAGATAATTCTCAAAACTGACAATAGATTTTTACCATTTTTACTGATCTACATACTCTACAGATTGTGGTAGACATGAGCAAACAAACCTAGACATGTGGGCCTGTATATGAGAGCAAACTGCATCATAAAGATAAAGGAAACTTGCCAACCTGGTTACCCACTTGGCACCACTGCGGTCTTCTGCTGAATTCATGGCATCCAAGCAAGGTTTCCTATGACTTAGCTGCAGGCTGATCTGAGGAACACCATCAGATATCTCTGGCTGCAGGACCTGGTAGACCTGAGTGAATCCCTCACTCTTGGACTCTGGGATCTAAAATACGAAATTGTAAGGGGGGGAAAAAAAGGCCGGGGAGTTGGAGATTATATATAGAGAAAAAAAAAGCATTTTAAAAATTAAGTTATCAAAGTGAGATCATTTATTCCAATTTATTGATAATCCAATGTATTAACACTTCAGAAAAAAATCAAATGAAATTTGGAACTTAAAATATATATAAAAATTATATAGCAAAAGGCTACAGAGGTATAGAGAACTGGAGATACCAAAATTTCAAGGGAAACTTTCAAACCATCCATGTCCTATACCCCACTCTGCGATTCTGTTGCAAGTCCTCCCAAAGCCCACCTCTTCTTAGAATATATAATAAGAGATGGTGATGTGTCACACTGGCAACCCTGGAAAAAGGAAAGAAGAAACAGTTGATAGGAGATGGGAAAAGTATGTGCTATTGTCTGGATCAGTAACGTCTCTCAAAGGCCCATGGATTAAGGCTTGGTCCTCAGCTTGGTGCTATTAAAAAGGATTGGGAACTTTCAAAAGGCAGGATCTAGGGCAACTTTAGGCCACTGGAGGTGAGTTCTTGAAAGCTGTGGATCCAGAAGTGAGCACCTTGCTCTTCTCTACACTCCTGCCATGAGCTGCTGCCTTCCTGCAGACTCAAAGCAATGGGACCAACAGAGCATGGACTAAATTCTCTAAACTGAGACTCAAAATAAACCTGCCTTCTTTTCAAATTAGTAATTTCAAGAACGTTGTTATAGTAATGGAAAGCTAACACAGGTTGAGGACCACTGAAATAAAGAATATCTATATCAGAAGATATGCAGAAAGATACACTGTCAACAAATAAAATACGTCTGGAGTTTGCTAATAGTTTCTAGTGTATCCCCCACCCAGGTGGAATCTCATGTTGCCTAGGTTGGCTTTAATCTTCAGGGTCAGGTGATCTTCCTGCTTTACCTTCTGAGTAGCTGCACCTACAGGCACCACCACACCGGGCTTGTAATCCTCTTTTGTATCACAAAGTGTGGTCTAGTAAACTTAACAGAGTAAATAGGAAAAGTAGTTCTTTTCTATCTCTGGCAAGACAGACAAAATGTGTCAAATGAATATCAGGTATACTAACTTCTCACACTATATCTTAAGTTTGTTCCCTCAAATCCCAAAATAGCTTCATGTGCTCTAATTTCAGATCAGAAAGGACAAGAATACAAACAATATTTTTTTTCTACAAAGTATAAGAAAGTTTGATTTCAGAATTACAAGGGGAAATTCAGACTCTAAAGTGTATTTACTACACTGGAAACTTTTTCTTATCTTGCACTTTTCTCACACTTGCCCTTATACCTAGAATGCCATCTTTTCTGAGATCAAACCCAAACTAAGATCAAATCCAAACCTAATTAATTTCCTTTGAGGTTCACATAACTCAACTGTACATGAAGTTCCTCTAATCTCAAATCCTACTAACCTTTCTCAATTCTGTATTTCTGCCACACACAGTAATAATCTGCCCCAATTACATGCTATTGCTTTCTCTCCCTTAGTTGCTCCATGTTTCCAGAGGTCATAGAGCTTCACCCAATCTTGAGATAGAGAGTAAAGCCCTTTCCTTCTTCCCCTTTATTCCCTTTCCTCTCCTTTTAAATGATATTATGATTTTTTCCCTTTTATCCATTAAGTCTAGCAAAGTTTTGGATCCATTAATAAATACTTATTGTCAATACACTTTTCAATAAAGAATTATTCCGAAGACATTCACTATCAAAGAAGCTACAATAGCAGATATTAAAAATACAAGGACAATTATGACCAGAAATATTTAATAAATTCATGTCTTTATAAGCATTACATAAAATATATAAATATATACAATTATTATTTAATTAAAAATAACAAAAACAGCATACATACAAAATGAACATAATTTGACATATAGTGTATGTGGCAAAATGAATTTATTGTTGTCATGAGAAATTTGTCCAGATCTGGTGACTGCCTATTAGTTGTCACAGCATTTATCTATAGGGTATTCATAAATTCATGAAAACCAAAGAAAGAAAACATTTGTAAAAAATTACAAAACATAAAAACATTTTTGTTACCCAATATCTTCCAAGATCAGTTTTTTCAATGAAAAAATTAATATATCTTAAACATGGAATGTTGCAGAATGGCGAACTTTGGCTTATTATGAATTATTTAATATTTATCATTTTTAGTTGTAAGAATACTTAAAACTTGGTAATGACCAAGAACGCCAAGATTATTTATTTTAAATGCCAAAGAACAGCAAAAGAATATGAAAAGTACAAATATACACTTTCATAAAGGGGATACTTTTGCATGTGATTATTTTCCTTAGGACTAGACATGAAAAATCAAGGAAACACTGAAAATGCAGTCGGATTTCAAGTCAGACAAAATATCTCATATTTAGACTAAGTATTGTCAGTACTAAAGCAAATGCAACAGTAGCTGGCATCATTTTATAGTCTTAAAATGAGGATCTGATATTTTAGGTTCAGAGATAATTTTGAAATTCTACATTTAACTCAGCAATTTATGTAAAAAATATTCTAGAGTACAAAAGATAATACACACTTTATTCTATTTGCATTAAAATAGCCTTTACAGTACAAATCACTTAGAACTCAGATATATCATCTAAATTTTGTCTAAGTGTATTTCTGTTATGAACTAATCTCTACAGAAATAACAGACATAAATAAAGTCCATAACCATGAACTTCAAATATGAACTATTTATACATCAAAGCAATATAAATAACTGAGCTTGTGAACAGAACATAAAAATACTGCTTGTATTTAGGAGAGAACAGAATTGTTAGGAAAAAAAGAAGCTCAGTTGCTGTTAGACCACTAGAACTATTAAATATATAGTCTGTTTGTATTTTAAAAGATTTCTTTTTTTTGAGACAGGCTCTTTTTCTGTAGCTCAGGCTGGCCTTGAACTTAAGGCAATCTGCCTGGCTCAGAGTGCTAGGATTACAGGCAAGTGCCACCATGCCCAGCTAAGGAATGCAAGTTTTTAAAGATAACTAATGGTATCTTCTTCAAGATGTACCTTGAAGACTATACATTTTTGCTACTGAAATTATAATTACAGAAAAAAGTAACAAGAACATGATAAAAATTCAAAACCTGATGTTTCATTTATGGAATTAGTTTTACTTCCAAAGCATTGACTTTAGGGAAAAAAAGTCAGCTGGAACTGAGGTTTTTTTTTTTTTAAACAAATGCATGATTTGAACCAAAATAAATTTACATAAACAAATAAATTTACTACTCTGCTTTGCACCATAGGCTTTGCTTTTATTTTTATGCTTTTGGGTGTTCACTTTAGGTTCTAGGTAGTTTGGTGGTCAGTACAGGCTGAGTCAAAGGTGGCACTTAAGGTCTTCTCCATCATCACTGAACTCTTGGTCAAGGCGCTGGATAAAAGTGGGCTTGTGATTAAAGTTGGTCTTGAAAGCAATGGCTCTCCTCTGAAGCTGGCTGTGGTTGTACCAACCAGCCCGACAGTGTGTGCTACTGAAATCTAGGGGTCAGAGTGCACTCAAACCAGTTAGCTGGTTCACGGTATCAGGAGTGCTTATGTTGAGAAGCACTGCTTTGCTAGGAAGAAACCCATAATGAGGCAAACTCCCTCCTTCATGGTTTTCTTCTGGTCCCATCTTCTTTTGTTGTCTGTGGCATACAAAGACATAATGAACACAGACCAGCTCTGAGGTCAGCAATGAGCCCAGAAAGCAAGAATCATTAGCAGCCACATAAGCTTCAGCCCAGCTCCACTGAGCAGAGATTCCAGAGAGTGCTAAGATCCTCTCTGTGATAAACACAGGGTCGGGCCTGGGAGACTCACTTGCAGCCTCCCTCATGATGAGGGGCTGTAGGAGGAAAACAGCTGAGGATTTTCTACTGAGTTATAACTGACTTTGCTCTCTTATTTTATTTATTTCTCTATCTAGTCTTTAATAGCTTTTGTCTAAGATAAAACCATAAAACCTTGTAAACTGTCTATAAATCTAAGAAGAAACCATATATGAATCTATAAAGAACACTTTGGTTTTAAGAATTCTGCCATTAGCTATGGAGACAAGAATCTAGGTATATGCTGTGTGATTTATTCATACAACTAAAATACAAACAATTCCAGGAATCTTCAACAGGGTTTATTCCATGCATGTCTTTGCAGGCATAGAATAGCAACTTGGTATTTGAGATGCCATGGGAATAGAAACAAAAACAAATGTCTTTTGAAGATGTAAAATTAGAAAATATTATCTTATATTCTGGTAATGCTGTGGGTAAAAATTAACATCTCTTGAGCACTTACTTTGTGCCAGGTATGGGTCCAGAGATTTTACATAAATTAACCCCTTTGACTCTTAGCATAGTCCAAGGAGGCAGGAATTACTATTATTGCTTCAAAGATGAGGAAAACTGAGGCACAGAGTTTGAATTATTTGTCCCATGAGTAAGTGGCCAAGATGCTGTGAACATGTAGGTGGGTTTCAGTACTGTGCTTAACCACCATTCTATACATTTGGTTACTTGTTAAAGGTCAGTCTTGCAAGGAGAAAAGCATTTTTCAGATGTGTGGCAGGTAATCGCCTACACTAAAGCCTATTTTTGGCATTGTCACTTAAAAACTTTTTCTTCATTCAGTTTATTTCTATGGCACATGCTAAGTCATTCTAGAAGCCTTAGGACAGGATATACCCTTTTTAAAATTATTACTAGGACAAAAATTTATATATTATAAATAACCAAATTACTTTTATAGTACATCTGTATAATGAGCCATTATTCATTCATTAAAATATCTACAAAGTTTTAAATAACACAGTGTAATATTTTGCTATGATACATAATACAGTATGAGCTTGCTTAGTAAATAAAGCCCATAAGGAGTTAGACGTATGTCTCCACTAACTAGGATCACCAAATTTAAAATACACATAAATCAATTCAAAGGGCAAATAAACTTTATGAACACTACAAATA